AAATAGTAAGGTTTGAAGTAAAAATTAAGCACGCAATGAACACAGCACACAATACAAGTTAAAGTACATCAAAGTTTTGTAAATAAAGAGCTAATGTTGTCATATGAGAGCCACCCACCTTGCGAAGTAACCAGGAAATAGAGCGTCTGCGGCTAGGTTTCAAAACCTAGCGAGCTGCCTACGTAGACAGCATCCTAAGCGCGTGTGGGGCAGTGCGTGTGTGCGATGACTAGGTAAGTAGCGCACTAGGTTTGAAACACAGCCTCTCTCCGCCCTCTGACCTACTGTCTCATTAACATAATGGATATTTAATTTAATGTATTTATTTATGTATTTTTAGTTTCTTTTTAGTTTTATTGGGTTTATTGGATTTGTCTCAGTCAGCTTGTTCTGAATGTAATTAATTATTTTATTTTCAGTTATTCTAATTTTTAATTCTATACATTTATTGAAATAAAATTGTAATAATCTAAATGATAGTTTATATTGCTTTATTTGTATATTATAGCATATGTATCTTCAAAATGCATAGCTTGTAGTAAAGCTTGTATGTCTTATTAAGTTTCAACAAGTACTGCTATTGTTGTTGTAGGTACATTTGCGAAATTAAACTTAAAAATAAAATCATATAAAGAGGCTGTATTAAAAATCTATTAAAAAAGTATTTTAAAAAAGTATTTTAGGTTCTCTGGTATTGGCAATAGTCCTACTTCCTCTTCACATACAGTACTGTGACGTGACCACAGGAAAATTTCACGTTTGCCATAATAATAAGACCGTATAATATGACCGTATAGTTAATTAATTTAGAAGTGTAGTGTCGAAAAATTTCTGATGATGATGCTTGCACTCTATTATTTTTGTAATTATTATTTTGATGTAGACTATTATTTATTTATTGTTCTTGCCTTGTGTGTTTCCTGTCAAAAAAATAACAACAATTATCTGGAAAAAGTCAATAATGTGACCTCTGTCTTTGCTTGTCTTGTGTGTTTGTTGGTAAACCAAGTTCTCTTTTGTAACTATGACATCATCCTTTGTGGGACAATACACACGTTCCTGAGAGAGCTGAGTGGTGACAGCATCTAAGTTATGGACATATTTTGCAGGAAGCTTCATGCCACTAAAGAGTAGCATGAATGTTTATGGAAATCACATCTTCCCTCTCCTTTTACAGAGAGCTGTTGACTTCAGACTGGGAAATTTGACAGCACTGACTCTGTCATTTCCTGGTTGATTAGAGTTCTAGTACTAGTAAAAGTAATTAGCTTACATGTTAGTTCTTCAATGAATTTCTTTGTTCCCTAAAAGAACAATACGCAACAATGAAGACAACTTATGAATACAGAGTTCTGAAATACTTGTTCATATATTTATTAAATTACACACCTTCTTGGAAGTTACATAAAATCATCGTACAATAAATACAGAAATAAATAAGAACATAATAAATAGTTCTATAAATATATCGAATCATGTCACACATGAATTCTTAATGTTAATGCAACTTTGAGTTGTTATTAAATCTGTGTTATTATAACACAGGAGAACCTTTGTAGAAGCAGCAAAAGCTGTTTGAACATTTTGACCAACATGATCACTACCAACATGTAGGCTATACCTCTCTTTCTTTTCTCTCAATCTAACACTGTTTCATCTCCACCGTAGGAGCTACGGGGGATGCCAGAAAAGAGAAGACGCGTGCAGATATGATAGAGAAGGAGTAGAGCCTTTCCACACTGTCCCGGCACAGAGTGTTGTCATGCCACTCTACTGCAGTCAAAGGAGCATCAACCACTGGTTCCTGTGGTCATCAAACAAGACAATAATGAAATTAAAAGGGTTTACTAGAGCAGTTGATAAAGTAACACATTTACATACAAAACTTTCCAGGAGGATAACAGATAAGGATGTGGGGAAAAAAATGTTTTGCCTCTTGTTCTATGAAACGTGGCAGGTGTGCGTTACATCAGAAGGAAGTATACGTGGACTAGCAAAGATTTTGAATATAAAAACACACATACCTTAAGCACCCGCAGGATGTCTCTGGTGACATCAGCGATTTTGTTGGCCTGCTCTCTCCAAATACCGCAAGCTGAATTCTTAAACACACCGTCCTTGTGAAAAATTCTGGTGTAGTTTTTCAGAGCCATAATAATTCGTGATTGGCAAGTCTGAAAAGCAAAAGACAGATAGGGCCAAATTACAACATTTGACAACATTTTTGTATAAGCACACTCTCAGAACAAATTATACAAAAGCGGTATAGCCTACCATTTAGGTACTAATATGTACACTCTAAAAAATGCTGGGTTGTCTTAACCCAATTATGAGTCAAATATGGACAAACCCAGCCGTTGGGTTACATTTTTTTATTACATTTTTAACCCAATGTTTGGATTTGTCCATATTTGACATAAAATTGGTTTAAGACAACCCAGCATTTTTTAGAGTGTACACATTTGGTACCAATATGTACCTTTAAGACACTTTTTAGATACAAAATGTGTGCCTTTTGAAATAGTACTGCCCCAGTGACAGCTTTTGTAACTTTTTTTCTGAGAGTGCAGTGCAGTATATAAAACGTATGATCTACTGTGGAATCATTAATAGACCAATAAGAATGCATCTAAATTATCCTGTTACCTCTTTTTTGTTTTGAAGGCTCCAGGGATCACATGTGTCAATTGGTCCTATAGACACTGGAGCGTCATCAATGATACTTGCAATTTTAGGAGACTCAACCTGAGACTCAACCTGCACAGACCATACAATTGCTTTATTATAATCAACAACATAAGAAGGGATTCTGAAACAATAATGAATTAATTTAGAAATTAAGAAAAAATTATAATATATGTTTTCTTAAAGTAGGCATTCTTACCATGTAGTATAAATCTCTCGCCATCTCATTGAGTTTGATAGAAAGCGCTTTAGCGATTTTCACCTCACCAGATGCGCGCGCCGGAGCTCCTTTGGCGCCTGAAAACGCCGATAATGCAACGCAAACTAGGACGATCAAGAATAATGATAGATGCATAGTAAATGTCTTGTGCTGTCCTTTCTTCTGGAATGATTGGAAGTTAAATCTATTGTAGTGACATTGACAGCGAACTGCTTTTATAAGCTTAGGCCTACCTCTTTTATGATGATGGGGTGAGTCACCAGGATTTTCCCCGCGATATCCGACAGGTAGAGAGACCTAATTAAGTCTTTCAGGTTTCGCTTTCATTAAAAATATTGTTCCTCAAAAACCAGTCTCCAAGATGCTCAACATAATGCTCGAGAAAACGTATTATTATTATTAAAATATTAAGTTATTAAAATAATAACTTAATAGCCTGATTTCGTTATTATGGAAGGCCAAAAAAAAAATCATGCTGGTGAATCGTAATTATGACATATTAAGTCATAATTATTAGATTACAAAAATCGAAATTTTGACATATCGAGTCATAATTATGACATTCTCAGTTATAATTCTGAGATTAAAAAGTATGACATAATGGCATACGAAATCATAATTAGCTATGCATAGCCTGCTAAATTTCAATTGTGAGATAAAAATAAAATAAAATGATATATAAGTTAAATTATGACATTCTATGACTTTGAATGTCATAATTTCGACTTTTTATGTCATAATTACGATTTACCAAAGCATGATTGTGATGGGGAAAAAAATGAAATTGGAGGGGGAAATGTAATTCAATGCTTTTGCGTTCTCTCAAAAACGTTTTGCAGTTTTGTCACAACTTTTGCAATCCCTGGCAAAATATATGACTTCTCCGCAAAACCTTTGCGTTTCCCAAGAAACTTTGCGTTAGTTAGCAAAGACTATTTTTATTTATTTTTTTGCTAGCGAATACAAAGTGGGGAACGCAGACATTTTGCGAGCGAGGGCAAAGTTTCTTGGAGAACACAAAACATTTGTGAGGTAGGCTAATAGGCTACGAAACCATTGCAAAATAATTTTTCTCCCATCTCATATTTTTCCCCCCCATCACCATGTCTATGTCGCAATTTTATTTTATAGTTTAACAGAATGCGGTATAGGCTATATCAAAGGCAGGTGAAAGATACATCTATGCTGCCTTCAAAAACTGATCAGATGAAGATATCTCAGGAGACAGTAAGGGAAGCTATGGATTCGGACGTGCCTTGATGCTTTCCTACAATTTAAGGCTTCAGATCCAGCCATACACAGACAGTCCAGTTTGCACTTGGTGTTAGCTTCCACATTGGATTTACATCCAGGGATTATTTATCAATTCATTACATTATACATTACACATTGGGGCAATCAGTACTTTGATTAATTTGTATATAACTAGGCCTATATATTAAAATGAAATGTAAAAACTCTCACACATACTAAATACATATATAAGTTAATGGATATATATATATATATATATATATATATATATATATATATATATATATATATATATATATATATATATATATATATATATATATATATATATATATATATATATACAGTATAGTGTCTGTGTGTTATATATATATATATATATATATATATATACTGTATATATATATAGCCTATATATATATATATATATATATATATATATAAGTTTTTTATTTCTCTGACACAATCTTTTCCCCATGGTACTGATAGTGCCGTGAGTTTGTGGAATTTTCTTAAAAACTTGACCTCTGATTGATATTCTTACATTAGTCAACAGCTTCCTTTTTAATGTGAAATACAAAGAATGTCCACTATCGGTAGATAAGCACACTTGTGATGCCATAACAAAAGCATTACGGGAAGTGTGATGATGTAATAATTTGTTAATGCAATGCACCCAATGCTGAACCATTGCATAATAACGTAACTAACAAATAACAAACTTGGCAGTAGCTCCTCCTGAATTTCTCATGTACTTCTGAACCAAGGTATTTTTGGAGTGCACCTCCATATTGCTGTTAAAAGACACCATTACATTGCCGTTAACTTAGAAGTCAGTATTACAAATTTACAGGAATTTTCTTCCACCTCAAGGACATAAGACATTCGTGAGAATTTGAGGTGGTAGATCTCTTCTGCAGATCTTCCCATTCACAAATGTTTCGCCATTTCATTGGCATTTTGATGGAGCAACACAATTCTCCCATTTAGACAATCGAAATGATAGAACTTCCAAAGCTGTAAACCTGGTTATAACCACTCA